CCCCCGCTTTAATTGTTTAAAGTGTAAATTGCATGTGCCTGTATACAAATAAAATTTACAGAAAAAATATACATTATAAGCAGAGACGTTTTTTCCTTAAGTTTATATGACATTCGGAAAGAAATTACCTTCGAGATATTGCCGAAAACCGGCTCTTTGTGAGTATTTTCCAAAGAATTCCGAACGCGTTTCAAGACTAGGTCATCGAACTTTCAACGCGTCGTGACGTCACAAGGAGAAGTTCTCTAGTTGAAACATGGCGGAACATTCAGATGTAAGCAGCGCTGCTGCCGATGATTCCGACATTTCAGATAATTCGTTAACTTTGTTTGATACGTCTACGATCATTAGGCCATACATGTATGAGCCGATGGCAGAAGTCAACGTTCGGGACGATCGTAGTGCCCAACACGTCGAAGAAACCTTGAGTACTCAACTCGATAATTGATTGGTGTGGATGCAAGTAATGGTTTTAACAGATCACACTGTATACCAACTGTGACTTTTTCAACTTCTACCTGACATCCTAAAAGAAATTCAATGAGAAATTTTTAAAATGCATGAGTATACTTTAAAGAAATAAAATTACCATGAAAATAGCCATGTCTAAAGTATTTTTGCCAATAGCAAAACAAAATTTAGTTCAGTTTATAGACAATGCTATGAATCATAGTTCAAATATTAAAGAGGTTATAAAACTTTCCTACTAAATTTTTTTTTATTATATATACAAATAAAACATATCTTTACTTCTATGTATTGTCTTTGTGTCTTGACATGTGTCACTTGTGTCTGTATCTGTGTTTGTGTTTGTGCTGGTTTCTTTACAGGTTTATTGGGGGACTCCATGGTAGTTTGTGCAGTAATAACTTGTTCGTCATAATTTTGATTTTCAAATGTATGGTCAACCAAGTCATTTGTGATTAGTGTTTGAAGAACCTGAAATTAAATTAAAAAAAAAAAAAACATTCAGTAATATTTTAGTGGAAAATCAACATCATAAAAAGATTTGGTTACAGGCAATTCACAATTTTCTAAAGAACATTTAAAAACTGAAAATGGTTGTTGGAAACCATCTCATTGACAGG